GTTCCATAGGATAGAAATTATTTGTTTTTCAACGAAAGGACGATTAATGAATACCTTTAACGATTATCGTTTATTCAATTAATAAATACGGACATATCGTTTATCGTTAGGGCGTTTTCTTCGAATGAATAAAACGATTCATTTATTCGAAATTTTGACAAATCATTTCGTAATGTCGACGACACGAAGTAAGTATTTCAACTTGTAAAATTTCATTTTAAACCAGGGAAGACAGTCGAACGTCATCTAGGAATTTCATTAAACCGTCTAGGACGGTTAGAGATGGTTCCAGTAGAGTACTGCTGAGTAAAACCTTGCTGAGTAGAATGGTAGACAAATAGAATGAAAGGAAAACCAAAAGATTAGAAAAATAAAAGACAATTGAACGAATTGAAAGAATATTCGATATCCATGGAAAATTTTCCAAAATACCTATTGCCCCGTAGAATTAATAGAATTGCGAGATAAAGATTTGAGGTGTCATTTTATGATTTACTAAAATACTGTCTTAATTAAAAATAAATTATACGTTCTAGCCATTGACGGTTGTGGTCTCACACGTTAACATGTATACGTATATATATATATATATATATATATATATGTATGTGTGTGTGTGTGTGTGTATGGATTTACATATATACATTGAGTTAACGCAGTTCGAATCGCATCTATCAACTGCACCAACTACTTACCAGACAAAGCGAACAAGGAAATTAGAATCCAAGAGACGGAGAGAAAGAGAGAAAGAGAGGGAGGGAGAGAGAGAAAGAGAAAGAGGAGAGACGTATATCTCTTGAAGCAATTCAAACCTAACCATAGCTCGTGCAAGGAAAGCTTAAATGGAACGCTCGGTTACTTCTATCCCCAGGCTTCGCCCATATAACAGATCGTTGAAATAAGAAAACGATTCGTGTTGGTGACCGGAGAAAGTAACGGATATATGGTCAAATAAGACGATCTTTCTTGCACAAGCATAGGTTAGAGAAGATGGAAGATGATAGTTTACGAAGTTTTAAAGTACGAAGAACGATCGATTCAGACATCTGTAAAATAAAAATTACACTCATATTCAAACTCGAGAAATCATCTGTCTCTAGATATTCCGTTTAAATATATCAACTTTATTTCTTTCGATGGTTGCATCTTGATCTTTTTTTTTATTTTATCTTAAAATAACGGACTACTCTGTGAAAAGCTTAGTGGTGTTACAAAATAGAAATACACGGATATCTAGATACCGTATTCTTCTCACTTTCTTTTTTCTTTTTTCTTTCTCTTTTTTCTTTTTCCTTTTATTTTTCTTTTCGATCCTTCTTTTATTGTTTCTCCTGCGAAATATTGAAAGTATCGTTTTACTTCGACAAATGAAAAGAAAAAATTCAGAGAGACTAAATTCGTCGAAGGACAAAAGCAAATTGATTATTTGCGAATGGAACTTGTCAAAATATCGTTTACAGGCGAATCGGTTTCTTCGGTCGACATGTCACCAATTTTGATCGGGCTAGGCGGTACGGCAACCGGGTTGGGTCTAATCGTAACCGGCGTCCTGATGGCTCTTTGGAGAAGACACGCGGCGACACCCACAAAACCAAAACCACTTCAACAATCTAGCATTGCGACTTTTACAAGCAAAGCCGAAGAAGAGGATGGAAATCCTGATCTTATACCAACAACGGCCTTATCACATCATTTAACAGGTAATTTTTTATCTTCTCGATATTCGTCTTATTCGAATAGAAATGAAAAACTGTTATCAAAAGATTTCTTCAGATAATCAAAAAATTATATAGTCAGAAATAATAACATCGATAAGTTTTTTCGATACAATTTCAGATAGAAAAATTCCAATTTGTGGCTCTTTGCCACGACGACCTCGACAATTGGAAGGACGAGAGATGTCGCACGATGTCTTAGAAGACTCAACTTACTCTCGAACATCGCCTAGTGTAAGTAATCGAATTTTTATTGTGATTATTGTCGACGTTGTATTCGTTAATCATTTCTCTTCCTTTTTCTATTATATCTTATATATGTAAAATGTTAAAACAAAAACAAAGATAAAAAATAAAATAAATTCTATATTACAAAATTTTACATTAATTACATTACTTTACATTAATAACATATTGCAACAATATGTGTCTACATCTTCAATTGGTTTGTCGATTCGTAATTTTAAAAATAATTTAAATTCACTTTAAAATTAAGCATTTTAATTATTATAAGTGAATCTCTAGAAATAATAGCTTTATAAACCTATAATCTATCTTATTTCCAGACGTTCTATAGTCTTCAAAGGCCACATCGTTATCCCGAAAGTATGAGAAATACGGCGATACAGGAGAGCTGCATTTAAGAAGAAAATCTCAAAAGAATTGGACATTAAATAACAATATGGTTTGAAGATCCTGCCAAAAGACGAGCAGCAAAATACGAATCTTTCGTACGAAGCCCGATCATCGAATCACGTCCAGCAGGGTAAACGGTTTTTCTGATTTATAAATGGATTCCGGAGGAAAAGAAGCGACGAGAGATGGAGACATGTGGAAAATGCCAAATCATGCTTACGCCATGTTGTACACGTTCGACCATACGAAAACATTTATAACCATTCACTATGCATTTGTAAATATTGTATATAAATAAAAACACATCAATTTCGTGTTACGTTCGAGAAACATACATCCAATAAACCCAATTTATCGTTGCCGGGAACAAAATTTTATTCCTTAAAATTGTATACTCTTTATAAATATATGTATATATATATATATATACATATGTATATGTGTGCATATATACAATATATATATATATAGGAATATTAAAATGTTTATAAAATATGATCAAGAGTAATGCTATATGCGTACGAATATGTTCAAGATCGAACGTAAAAGACTTTAACAAATGTTTCAAGAGTAAATCATTATCTATAGAGAAAGCACTATCGTACAACGAAAAATATAATTTAAGTAACCAAACGTTTCATACTCGTAGAAAGATTCCACAGTTGTCACCGCTAAAATGTGGGACGAAAAAAGTACGAGATTTATCTTGGCCTCCTTTCGTAACGATTTTTGTTTTAGGGCGCGTAAATCTTCGCATTGTTAGATAGACATATTTTGTGATAGATCGTGGCGTACTCTTCAATTCCTCTTCCACGATATCTCGACCTCCTTATTTTTTTCCTATTTCTTCAGTATTTCTAATAAATTGCTTATCAAAAATGCAAATTGTTCCTAAGCACATAAAATACTTTGACCGGAATATAATATGATATTTGAACTTTTGGCCGACTTTTTTTTGCCACTTTTTTAAATGCTAAAAAAGCATACTTACGTACTTCCAATCATTATTTCAAACATTTCGAACTCGTTAGTAAACTTTTATAAAAAAAACTTTTATAACGATAAATCGGTTCGCATTCTAAAATGAAAACAGCAAAAAGAATTTGAGACAATTTGCAAATGAAAAATATTAAAAAATATATATTGTTAACGAAAATCGATTTTTCGCAAGAGATTCGTTATATATATTTAATGGTTTTTTACCAACGCGGAACGTCTAAATAGAAACAAATAGGGAATCTATCTAATTTCAAAATGATATATAAAATATATACATAGTTACATTTATTAGATAGACTCATAAGTCATAGATATGTAGATACTTGGAGGTATCGTGCACGATATCGAGCGATAAAAGAGAGAAGAGCAGAGAGAAGAGCAGAGAGAAGTAGCGGATGGTAAATGGCTGAGAAAAAGGATCTTACTCGTGGAGTTTTACCTAAGAGCTACGTGCAGACGTACCGAGAATCCCCTTAACGTCTTCGCAGGTTGAAACTTTTATGATTTCACGTTCGAGCACGTCCGTTTACGATCCACGAGTAGAAACGAACGAGCATGGAATTTCTATGTAGAACTGCAACACTGTGGCTGCTTTGCTGGGTGCATACCCTCGTCCAAACCGCACGAGATTCTTACCTATTTTCGGGAAATCAAGCAGCTGATTTAACCGCCAACCGAAAATCTCGACTCATTCTATAGACCTTTCCGTATACCTACTCGAAAATACCGAATAAAGCAGCGAACATTAGAAAAATATTGCCTTTCTCAAATTCTCGAATAACCGCTTTCGAATTAAACTTTGCTTTTTCGTTTAATATCTTACTTCACACGAATTAGCATGCTTTTTATTTTCGTATCTCATCTTCTCGGTTTTTTGCTCTAAAAAAAATTAAAAATTAAACAAAAATATAATGTGCGTTTTTTATTGCTTTAATCTTATTATCGATACAATATAATGTTAAAGTTCTAAATACAAGTTATTCTATATAAGCGCTTATTTAAAATTATTCTCCTTTCTGATATAGCCTCAAACCAATGATAATGAGATACAAGATAACATATAATATTTAATTGATACATATGAAAATCTTCTACTCGTATAAAATCTAAAAATTTTGATACATGAAATTTATACAAAAGATCAGAAATTTCGATGATTATTTCCGAAAATCGAAACATTTACACGATTTAATAGTACTCTATATTGATAATAAAAAACATATACCATTAGACCAAATTTTTGCCATCTTATTTTATATATGTCAATAATTATTGATAATTTAGGATTGTGGGAGCATAAAAAAAATAATACAAAAATTACCGTATTATAAGAACATAAAAAAAAAATAAGATAGCATTATCGACACGGTAAACAAAATTGACCAATTTATTATTTATTATTTATTATTTCTTACCAACCGAGTAAATGACAGGTGATAATATAAATTTCTTTACCAACAGAGTAAACATTCTAGTAATAATAGATCCTTGCTTTACTGTCGTGCCGTTGATTATAGAATCCATTTTTGTCGATCGAACTAATGTCCAAAATAATTTCTATTTTACCGACCGCATAGAATTTGAGGAATAGTACATACCAGTTTTATCGTCCGATCAGTATATATCGAGATTATATATTTGTTTCATTGACTGTCTATACTTGTCATTAGGCTATACCTAAGAACCGTAGCAATAGAATTTCAGTAAGGCGAATGTCTATATTTTTGGTACTGCAATGTATGGACGACCAATTGTGCAACGCGTTTGTTTGAAACATTACTATTACGCCTTATGAAAAATGTGTATTGCCAACATAACTAATCAATATACCGCATTTTATGTTGCTACACTGTCAACATGAAAGATTCATAAAAAGATCATAACCTATAAATTAATTTGTGGTGTTTATTAAACTGGAAATAAAAATAATGTCATTGTTTCCTGCTTATTCAAATGAAAACGTAATTGAATCACCAAATAGCAATGTTTCACAACAATTGCAAAAAGGTAAACTTTCTTAAACCATTATCGACATTCTTTTCCTGTAAAACCAAAATTCTAATTTATTTATTTATCATATTTATAATATCAGATAATACATCAACAAATTGGTTATCAAATTCAAGTTTTCAAACATATTTACAATCGCAAACACTTGTAGTAGATATTTCTTCAGACAATTCGTCAGATAATGATTTCTCTACTTCCACGGATGTTCCTAGTTCTAATACATCTTCTCACGAAAATAAACATTCCTATTATAATTCCATTAAATTGGTTAAATCACGTACAAGTGAGGAAAGAAAAAAAACATCTAAACATACAAAAAAACGTAAGAAAGAACGAAAATCTAGTAGTAAAAAGAAAAACAAATATGAATATGAACGAGATGTAGCAAATGTATATTTTGAAGACAAACATCGAGATAGAGGAAACAGTACAGTAAATACATTATGTTCTAGAGCAAGACCATATTATAATGTCGGACAAAAATATCTTGGTTTTGTCTCCTATAAACAAATTAAAAAAAATATTTATCAAAGATATCATGCGTATAACATTGATCTACCAGAAAAAACAAAAAAGAATGATTTAATAATTAAAAGAGAAATCGCCAAAGATACAACAATAAATAAAAATGAAGAAATTCCATCTTGGTGTACAAATTTAGAAGAAGAGCAAACATTAAAAACACGAGAATATAATGAAAAATTATTGGAAAATCCTAAAAACATAAAACTATGGTTGGAATACATTGAGTTTCAGGTAATTTATTTATTAAAAAGATAATATTATTAAAAATTAATTGTAATATAATTTTTTTATATCTTACAAATAGGATACTCTGACTAAATTTCAAAAACATCAGTTAGCTAAGAATATTCAACGTTCTACAGTTTTAAGGAAGTTATCAATAGTTGAAAAAGCTTTAGAAAAAAATTCAGATTGTATAGAATTATTAAAATTAAAATTGCGCTTTATGGAAGAAATATCACCTGCTGACGAATTTTCAAAAGAAATGGAAACATTAGTTAACAAGGACACAGGAAATGTTATTCTATGGCAAGCTTTAATAATGGCTACACAAGGTTCAGTAGCAATGTGCACTGTCCCTAAAGTTTTAGATTTATATACAAAATGTTTTTGTATATTAAGACAACGATCTCGGACAAATCCGCGCATTTATGATGAACGATTATTAGGTAGTATTTTTAATTATTTTTGCTAATATTTTAATTTTTATATACCATTTTTTCTAAACTACTTTCATTATTGTAATACTAGAAATGCTATACCAGTGCTTAGTTTTCTTGAGACATACTGGTTTGTGGGAACAAATGTGGGAAACAATACGTTTAAATCTAATATTAAATCTCAATCTGAATAGAGATAGTTTGGTTTTTAAAAAAATTATAGATGAAAAAAAACTAAGTAAGTTGATTTATTTTTATATTAGACTTATAATTATAACATTAATTTATTCAAATATAATGTGATTTTATAAATATTTTCAGTTGGAATGGAAGAGGTGGTATTAATGTCAAGATTGCCATTAAATCAACTATGGTTGAGAACAGAATCATTAAGAGAAAATTGTCATTGGATCAGTGTTAGTAAAGAGGAATTAGAATTAGTTGGGGATTCTCGTAGGTTTGTTATACCAGAAGATGTTGCCGATTTTGTACATCCAATAATTAGTCGTGATTCGAATTTTCGTATGGCAATTTATAGTCTCTTAGTTTTAAAAATACCGCTATTACCAACAAGAAATTGCATCTTGAAGGTAAACTGAATCATAATTTTAGATTGAAGTATAATTTCTAATGTCTTCATATGAATTTTTATACATATAGAATTTAGGTCTAAAAGAATTTGCATGGGGTGTGGATTCTTCAGAAGTATTATTTCCATTTGCATATCCGATAGTAGGTGAAATGGCTGGTCATAAAAAAAGGAAAGCATTAATGCATGGGATACTTGAAGGACATTTAACTTCTGGGCCTCAGTATCTTAAATTTCATCCTGCACAAGAACCATACTTAGATTTTATACGTGAAACATTTCATACAATTGCTGATAATTTACCAAATCTTGAGCGCAATAATATATATGTATGGTGGTTGAGATTTGAAAGATTACTTGTTTTTCTTAACAAAGATGAGCCTTTGAAATATGATAATAAGTGAGTTAATAAAAATGAAATAATTTCTAATCTAATAATAATGAAATATACCTTACATTTTATACTACAAATATATGAATATTTTCTTTGCAGGGGAAAAAAATTGAAATCTATATTGAAGGAATTTTTAAAAAAAGATGTAAATAGAAATAACTTACATTTTTATAAAGAATATGCTTTAATAGAAAGAGAAATGGGTAGATTTGAAAGCTGTATTAATATTTTAGAAACGGCTATTCAATCTAATTGTACTTGTCCGTCTATGATATCAGATCATGAAGAAAAAGCTGCTTTATTTAACTTGTATAGGACACTTTTTGAAACTTTATTAAATACTGAAACATATAAAGAAGCACACAAAGAAAAGATATTAAATGTCATTAAGCATATGGTACCAGGATCAACTGATACTCAATTATTACTTGTTGAGAAATACTTAAGAGATTGTGTCAACAATTTTTTAAAGACAGAACCAATGAATAAAGATATAGATACGTTTTTTTTACCAAATTTGGATTGTGACGTCATTGTATGTTATACATTATTTTTATATGTAAAAAATAATAATATTGAAGAAATTATTAATATATACAAATGTTGTATAGAACATTGCAAAGAATCCCACTTACAGGTATAAATTTAATTTTGTTCTATTATTGTTCCCTTGTTCTTTTATTGTTATTATTGTAATACTTTTTATTTATTGCAGGAAATGATATATGAAAGTGAACTTGTAATTTTACAATTACATTATGAAAACTTTCCAGATCTGGATAATAATTTGAATAAAATATTACATGATATGTTAGAATTATATCCAGATAATTTTTATGCACTATCGATTTATGCCCATAAACAGGTAAGTTTGAAAACTTGCAAATCAATGTAAAATTTAATGTTCTAGTATCTATATTTTAAGCAACAGATATTTTTATAGAGTGAATTACCAAGTTGGAAAATTAACAATACAAAATCCGAGTTTTCAGTTTGGAAAGCATTATCCTTGTGTTTAGCTGGACGTAAACGAACTCATTTTTTAATGCAACTTGATCATGATGCAGCTTGTGCATCACGTAACAAATTATTGTCACTTCATAGAATATTTGCAAGGTTTCTCTTAAAAAATTTCTTTAAAAAATTATATAATCTTATTTATACATTAATTTATAATTATTATACTTCTTTGTTTTTAAGAACACCAGAAATAAGATATTGCCCACTTTTATGGAGAATATATATGCTTCTTCTTCGAGAACATAATTTATGCGAGAAAAAAGGAGAAGAAGTTTATCATGAAAGTGTAGCATTATGTCCTTGGGCAAGAAGTATTTATATTGATGCGGCTGAAGTTGCACCACAATTATTAACACAAATTCAAGATGTGATACGTGAAAAAGAATTACGAATGCATGTTACACCAGAAGAATTAAATATTTTGCGTGGTCATTTATAAAAAATAGTTATTTATGTACAATTTGTTTCTAAATATAAATGTTTTTTTTTACGAATATATGTGTATATAATGTAAATAATATCAAAAATAATTTCATAAACAAATGTAAATAAATATTAATATCACAAAACTGGTACCAGAGTAAAATACACTAATATTTAAACAATAGCAGATTCGTTTATACATTACGCAAGAAACTTTAAACAATTTTAATTTCAAATTATCATACTTTAAAATATTCAACACGTGGAAAAATAGCCTTTTGTTAAATAAACATAAAAGCTATTTTTCTTAATTATAACGACAACCGAGTCAGAATACTTTTGAATTTCAACGCCTGACATGTCTTTTGAACGCAAAAACGGATAAAGTAATACTTTGGAAATTATATAATTAATTAAACAATCTTCAAAAACACGAGACACAATAAAATAATATTTAAACAATACTACGTTCATTCAAACATTACAAAAATGAAAACTGGTTAGAAATTAAAAATAAATCTAATATCTATACATTGAAATTTTATTTCAGAGATGTTGGCCATATGCAATATAAACATAAAGGGTTTTTCTATTAACTTTGACAATTGACGAATTAGTTTTCTTTTGCACTCCGACCAGTGAACATCATTACTCTCTATATCTAGTCGCGAAAATTAATAAATAACTATTTTCGGTAATTTTATAACTAATTAAACAAACTTTAATACACGTGAAGTACAATAAAGAAATATTTATGGAACAGCATATTCCTTTAAACATTAAATAGACGAAAACGAGCGAGATACATAAAATAATTCTAAATAAAATCACTGTAATTTGAAAATTTATAACGGGATTGATTGCCTTGTGCAATATAAATATAAAAGGGTCTTATAATAAATTTGATCATCAGCGACTTAGTCCTCTCTTGTGAATCCGAAGTGCGCACATCGTGATTCTATTTTCCTCCACGCGAAAACTTAAAAATGGATATATTCGCTTATTTCATAATTATTTAAACAATATTTCAAATACGCGGGATAGAATAAAGTAATATTTAAACAGTAGTACATTTATTTAAACATTAACAACCCTGAAACGCGCGAGAGACTTAAAATAACTTTAATATTTAATTCTGTTACCTTTAAATTTTAATTTCGGGTTAGTCGACCTTGCATAATGTAAACATAAACGCGCTTTCTCTTAACTTTGACAGTTACCAAGTTAGTCCTCTCTTGCACTCCAGCGTGTGCATATCGTGATTATCATTTCCTACTCGCGAAAACTTAAAAATTAAAATATTCGCTTATTTCATAATTATTTAAACAATATTTCAAATACGCGGGATAGAATAAAGTAATATTAAAACAATAGTACATTTATTTAAACATTAAAAATCCTGAAACGCGCGCGAGACGTAAAATAACTTTAATATTTAATTCTGTTACCTTTAAATTTTAATTTCGGGTTAGTCGGCCTTGCATAATGTAAACATAAACGCGCTTTCTTTTAACTTTGACAATTACCGAGTTAGTCCTCTCTTGCACTCCGGCGTGTGCACATCGTGATCATCATTTCCTACTCGCGAAAACTTAAAAATTAATACATTCGCTAATTTTATAATTATTTAAACAATCTTTCAAGTACGCGGGTTAGAATAAAGTAATATTTAAACAGTAGTACATTTATTTAAACATTAAAAATCCTGAAACGCGCGCGAGACTTAAAATAATTTTAATATTTAATTCTTTTACCTTTAAATTTTAATTTCGGGTTAGTCGGCCTTGTATAATGTAAACATAAACGCGCTTTCTTTTAACTTTGACAATTACCGAGTTAGTCCTCTCTTGCACTCCGGCGTGTGCACATCGTGATCATCATTTCCTACTCGCGAAAACTTAAAAATTAATACATTCGCTAATTTATAATTATTTAAACAATCTTTCAAGTACGCGGGATAGAATAAAGTAATATTTAAACAGTAGTACATTTATTTAAACATTAAAAACCCTGAAACGTGCGCGAGACTTAAAATAATTTTAATTATTAATTCTGTTACCTTTAAATTTTAATTTCGGGTTAGTCGGCCTTGTATAATGTAAACATAATCGCGCGTTCTCTTAACTTTGACAATTACCGAGTTAGTCCTCTCTTGCACTCCGGCGTGTGCACATCGTGATCATCATTTCCTACTCGCGAAAACTTAAAAATTAATACATTCGCTAATTTTATAATTATTTAAACAATCTTTCAAGTACGCGGGTTAGAATAAAGTAATATTTAAACAGTAGTACATTTATTTAAACATTAAAAATCCTGAAACGCGCGCGAGACTTAAAATAATTTTAATATTTAATTCTTTTACCTTTAAATTTTAATTTCGGGTTAGTCGGCCTTGTATAATGTAAACATAAACGCGCTTTCTTTTAACTTTGACAATTACCGAGTTAGTCCTCTCTTGCACTCCGGCGTGTGCACATCGTGATCATCATTTCCTACTCGCGAAAACTTAAAAATTAATACATTCGCTAATTTATAATTATTTAAACAATCTTTCAAGTACGCGGGATAGAATAAAGTAATATTTAAACAGTAGTACATTTATTTAAACATTAAAAACCCTGAAACGTGCGCGAGACTTAAAATAATTTTAATATTTAATTCTTTTACCTTTAAATTTTAATTTCGGGTTAGTCGGCCTTGTATAATGTAAACATAAACGCGCTTTCTCTTAACTTTGACAATTACCGAGTTAGTCCTCTTTTGCACTCCGGCGTGTGCACATCGTGATCATCATTTCCTACTCGCGAAAACTTAAAAATTAATACATTCGCTAATTTTATAATTATTTAAACAATCTTTCAAGTACGCGGGTTAGAATAAAGTAATATTTAAACAGTAGTACATTTATTTAAACATTAAAAATCCTGAAACGCGCGCGAGACTTAAAGTAATTTTAATATTTAATTCTTTTACCTTTAAATTTTAATTTCGGGTTAGTCGGCCTTGTATAATGTAAACATAAACGCGCTTTCTTTTAACTTTGACAATTACCGAGTTAGTCCTCTCTTGCACTCCGGCGTGTGCACATCGTGATCATCATTTCCTACTCGCGAAAACTTAAAAATTAATACATTCGCTAATTTATAATTATTTAAACAATCTTTCAAGTACGCGGGATAGAATAAAGTAATATTTAAACAGTAGTACATTTATTTAAACATTAAAAACCCTGAAACGTGCGCGAGACTTAAAATAATTTTAATTATTAATTCTGTTACCTTTAAATTTTAATTTCGGGTTAGTCGGCCTTGTATAATGTAAACATAAACGCGCTTTCGCTTAACTTTGACAATTACCGAGTTAGTCTTCTCTTGCACTCTGGCGTGTGCACATCGTGATCATCATTTCCTACTCGCGAAAACTTAAAAATTAAAATATTCGCTTATTTCATAATTATTTAAACAATATTTCAAATACGCGGGATAGAATAAAGTAATATTAAAACAATAGTACATTTATTTAAACATTAAAAACCCTGAAACGCGCGCGAGACGTAAAATAACTTTAATATTTAATTCTGTTACCTTTAAATTTTAATTTCGGGTTAGTCGGCCTTGCATAATGTAAACATAAACGCGCTTTCTCTTAACTTTGACAGTTACCAAGTTAGTCCTCTCTTGCACTCCAGCGTGTGCACATCGTGATTATCATTTCCTACTCGCGAAAACTTAAAAATTAAAATATTCGCTTATTTCATAATTATTTAAACAATATTTCAAATACGCGGGATAGAATAAAGTAATATTAAAACAATAGTACATTTATTTCAACATTAAAAACCCTGAAACGCGCGCGAGACGTAAAATAACTTTAATATTTAATTCTGTTACCTTTAAATTTTAATTTCGGGTTAGTCGGCCTTGCATAATGTAAACATAAACGCGCTTTCTTTTAACTTTGACAATTACCGAGTTAGTCCTCTCTTGCACTCCGGCGTGTGCACATCGTGATCATCATTTCCTACTCGCGAAAACTTAAAAATTAATACATTCGCTAATTTTATAATTATTTAAACAATCTTTCAAGTACGCGGGATAGAATAAAGTAATATTTAAACAGTAGTACATTTATTTAAACATTAAAAATCCTGAAACGCGCGCGAGACGTAAAATAACTTTAATATTTAATTCTGTTACCTTTAAATTTTAATTTCGGGTTAGTCGGCCTTGCATAATGTAAACATAAACGCGCTTTCTTTTAACTTTGACAATTACCGAGTTAGTCCTCTCTTGCACTCCGGCGTGTGCACATCGTGATCATCATTTCCTACTCGCGAAAACTTAAAAATTAATACATTCGCTAATTTTATAATTATTTAAACAATCTTTCAAGTACGCGGGATAGAATAAAGTAATATTTAAACAGTAGTACATTTATTTAAACATTAAAAATCCTGAAACGCGCGCGAGACGTAAAATAACTTTAATATTTAATTCTGTTACCTTTAAATTTTAATTTCGGGTTAGTCGGCCTTGCATAATGTAAACATAAACGCGCTTTCTTTTAACTTTGACAATTACCGAGTTAGTCCTCTCTTGCACTCCGGCGTGTGCACATCGTGATCATCATTTCCTACTCGCGAAAACTTAAAAATTAATACATTCGCTAATTTTATAATTATTTAAACAATCTTTCAAGTACGCGGGTTAGAATAAAGTAATATTTAAACAGTAGTACATTTATTTAAACATTAAAAACCCTGAAACGTGCGCGAGACTTAAAATAATTTTAATTATTAATTCTGTTACCTTTAAATTTTAATTTCGGGTTAGTCGGCCTTGTATAATGTAAACATAATCGCGCGTTCTCTTAACTTTGACAATTACCGAGTTAGTCCTCTCTTGCACTCCGGCGTGTGCACATCGTGATCATCATTTCCTACTCGCGAAAACTTAAAAATTAAAATAATCGCTAATTTCATAATTATTTAAACAATCTTTCAAGTACGCGGGATAGAATAAAGTAATATTTAAACAGTAGTACATTTATTTAAACA